ATGTATATATTATATATATATATATATATATATATATATATATATATATATATATATATATATATATATATATATATATATATATATATATGTATATATATATATGTTATATATATATTATATATATATATTATATATATATATACATATATATGTATATATTATATATATATATGTATATATATATATATATATGTTATATATATATTATATATATATGTATATATTATATATATATATATATATATATATATATATATATATATATATATATATTATATATATATTGTATATATATGTATATATTATATATATATATATATATATATATATATATATATATATATATATATATATATTATATATATATATATATTATATATATTATATATACGGACATCGCCGCCCCTCAGACCATTTTTGAGACCTGCTAGATGAGGACAACAAACCATTGTTTATTTTTTCAGTAAAAATTAACAATGGTTGGTTGCCTTCATACAGCAGGTCTCAAAAATGGTCTGAGGGGCGGCGATGTCTGGCACTTATTTCGACCCCTGTATATATATATATATATATATATATATATATATATATATATATATATATATATATATATATATATATATATATATATATATATATATATATATATATATATATATATATATATATATATATATATATATATATATATATATATATTATATATATATATATATATATATATATATAATAGGGGTCATAATAGTCCCTTATTTTCGAAAATCAAAAGGCACTGTTTTCCGTGTACTGTGGGTGTACTCTGTAATCAATAAAAAACAGAATTTATTAGTTTGCTCATTCACATAATTTTTAAACCCTTTTTGGGTTCAAAGATCAAATTTCACCTCAAAAAATCATATTATAACCGGTTAAATAACTTTAAAAAATGAATATCTCTGAGGCACTGTTGTTTATCCAATTTTGTAGGTCTATATGATCATTTTAAGTCTAATCTTATAGCAATTTAATAAAACTTAGATTGTGCTTAAGCGTTTTGGACTCTGAGTTTTGATCCGGTTTCTTTAAAATTTGACCGGATTTTACTATATTTTCAGTATGCCGGTCTGTTTATTTTATTAAAATCACTCATATTTATGACGTCTTTAAGTTTTATTAAAGTAGAAAAATTGATTTTTTTGCAGAGAAAAATCAAAAATATTTATTTTCTTATTTTATGTTTTGTTTTAGCGGAAAAAATAATAGACCTACATAAACAGTAGAAACAAATGTAAATTAGTATTTAAAATAAAATAGATAAAAATACAAGATTGGAACAAATTTTTTTTTGATAAATGATACCATTGGAGATACTACCATCATCTCAATTACCTACTGGAGAGCAAGTTCTGCGATATTTACACGACAAACTAATTTGAGCAAGAAAAGAAAAATTACATTATAGACTCAGTGATTCAGTTTCTTGCAAATTCCCCCATCAGAGTTTTGAAATTGGTTGCAATAACCCTGAAGGTTGTAATTTTCTTAAAACCACTTATGTTGTTTCGTCACTGAAGAAAATCTGGAATAGAAGTTCTATTCCAATAGTAGTTGACCAATATATTAGGTAAATGACACTGTATATCATCACATCACAGTATAGGTCATCACACACAGTATAGATCATTTAACAAAGTAATTTCAACTGCAGCAATTAAAAGTTTTTAAAATCATTTTTGGTTTCTCACAGAAGGAATTGCGGCCGTGGCACATGGTTACAGCGAAAAGAGAAAAGACAAACGCAAGAGAAAAAATTGCCAAAAAAAAAATTTTTATACCCTAAACCTATCAGATTATTATTGAGAAAACCACCTTTTCCAAGCATCAACATGAAGAAAATTCCAGAGTCATGGTAACTGGATGGACCTCAAAGTTGGGTTGTTATTCAACAGCTAAATCTATCTGCAATAGAAACAGGATGGATGCAGGTTAGCTCAAAGTAAATATTTCTCTTAACTGATTCAATTGATTATATTTTTTTTAGCATTTAAAATATTTTAAAAATGCCTGTATATACTTTATTTTAGAGATTGGAATAATTTTTCAGGATAATCGAGTCCTAAAAAAATTCATAGAAAATTTAACTGTAGTAAATGGTTGTGCTGAGAGGGGAGTAAAGCTTATTCAAGACTTTACACACATGTGCCAGGATGAGTTATTAAATTTTTCTTGTCATCTATATTTAAATTGATCATCGACAGGTTTAACTTTGTTCTCATAGTAAAACTTTTTACAAGGAAGTTGTGGAAAATTCGCCTTGCAATATGTTTTGTCGTCTTCAATTATGTCGTCTTCAATTTTGTCGTCAACAAATTCTTTGCAAGTTGAATACTTTTAATTTCACCGTTTAAGCTTCTTTTAGGTGTATTTTTCTTATAAAATGCATTAACTCCAGTACTTTAAAGTACTTTTTTGATATTAGAACGCGAAGTCTTGAACTTTCTTGCTAGATCTCGCTGTGATTGGTTCTTGCTATTAAACTAAGAATCGACTTAACCTTTTTGGGTTTATGGAAATACTGGGTTTATGGAAATCCACTTCCATGTTTTTCTTTGGAGCTTTGAGTTGTCTTGAAAGTATCTATAATATCTATGACTGTAGATTTTGCAACATTTGTGCGTTTAGCAATTAAGCGACATGAAGTCGATGTATTTTTGCTAAAAAAATTCACGACCTTTTATTTACACACCTCAATTTGCTTCCGAAACATTTTGCAAATCATTGATTTGTAAACAAAAGTATGTCAACATAATTAAAGATAAGGAAGTAACGTTAACTTAAAGAAATAAAAGAAAAAAAATGCATTTATGATTTTAGAGAAATCCTTATTTAAATTTGACCGGATTTGTCCGTGACCACCCTATAATGGACCAGTCTCAAAGAAATATTTTCCAGAATTACTGCGCACCCTTTTTCAGAGTTCCTTTACTGTGGAACAAATCAAAAGTGGTTTTAAAGGAACTGACATTTTCCCTCTAAGCAATGATGCTATTGACACACGTTTGTTTAATAAATGTTTTCAGTCACCAGTAAAGAAACCTACTTTCACTACTAATCACCTCACAAGATCATATTAAATGCCTAACCTTCAAAGTATTTTTGTTAATGATGCTTCCTTTTCAACATCAATATCATCTGCTTCATAACTACCCATTTCTACATTTTCTTCAGAAGGCTCATCTATCAAAGATTTTTTTTCTAAAACAATTACAGTCTAAATGTGCAGAGATCCCTTACTGTAAAAGATCTACTCGGGTTATTAGGTTTTGCTACGGTAGAAGTTTTACACCAGAAGCATATTTAAAACGAGCAAGAGAAGAAGCTTCAAAAAAACAAGAAAAAAAAAATACATAAAAAAAAAAGAGTTCATACAGATAAATATAATAACAATGATGACATTATGATAACAATGATGACACTGTATTTCCTAATTATGGTGTCCTTGGAGATAGAGGTGATCAGTTGGTGTGCTGCAATGTGTGACATTTGGTATCATGTAAAATGTACTGTATTAACTTAGACGATGTTAAAGTCATGGAATGGAGGTGTGCCATTGCTCACCAGCAAACATTGTTTTAATGGATTTGCAGTGGACCTATATAGACATTTTTTGGCGGTTTATTTGAGTTTTTTTCATCGGTTTGTTAGTGGACCATTAGTGGCAGCCGCTATAAATGGCAAGTCGATAATTTTCCGACATTTTAATAGTGGGTAGTTATCGGCTAGCCACTTTTGGCGGCTGCCACTAATGGTCCACTAAACAACCGATGAGCAAAACTACAGCGGTCCGCTCAAAACGCCTATATAAGTCCACTGAAACCCGCTATAGCATGTTTGCTATAGCGGGTGAACGTTAAAAGGCCGGAAGTACAATAATGTAAACTTTCGGAAAATTAAAAAAAGAATGCATATAGCCCCGTAATAAATTTTTATTATTGGCTCAATAATTTTTTTTTGAAGGTGAAAAACATCCTCATTAAAAAGAAAATTAAACTAACAAAAATTTACTACAGGGAAAAAAGCAGCTTTTTTAGTTTGCCGAAAATTTACATAGTTGGACTTCCGCCCTTTTAACATTCACTGATTCATTTGGAATATACTAAGGCTTGCACAATGCCTAAAAGTGTACTATCTGAAACATTAAAAAAATTCTGATTCCCCTAGTTGCAAGTGTTTGTTACTATATAGCTCTTAAATCTGTATATAAATTTGTTCACTTTTTTATTAAAAGGTTTTGTTTTTTTTATTAAAAGGATTTTTGTTGATTTTCTAATACTAGTTTATTTCTTAGAAAGAAACTGAAACAAAAAAAAAAAAAAATTCTATTAATTGGAGTCAGTAGTGATCATTTAAATAGAGATAAAAGGAATAAATGGGTGTTTTATTGCATATTGACAGTTTATACAAAGCCAAAGACACTTAAGTTACATAAAGATAGGATATTTAAGTTATCAAATGGAAATTTAACATTTGCGCTGAGTCTTGGTCAAGATATATAGATTAAATATACTTGGTCTTCATGCCCCCTTTTCTTTTTTTTGCGATTAATTTTTTTAGGATCAAACCGGTATTGACACTATAAAAAAACTTTTTTTTCAGAGTAAGTTAGTATGCCTGGTATAAAAATATGTCTGCCTTTAGGAAAAATATAAAATTTGAACTTCACAATAGTCATTTATTTTAATAGAAAATCTAGAGGTATATATAAAAAAGTGACCTTAATGCCTTTCTTTGTCCTACCTCAATAAATGAGATAAATCGATAAGTTTGATTATTCAACTTGTTAAAATCTTTTTTTTAAATTTGTATACACGATTGTAATAATTGTTACCTAAAAATAGCTTTATTTATTTGTTTAAGTATAAAGTAAAAAATTTGAGTTTATGTAAATCATAAAAATTTTACGTATTCTAAAAATATATTTCTCAAGAAACTTTTAATGTAATAATATTCAGACATTGTAAAAGATTTTAAAAATTTTAATCGAAATAGCATCAATATTTACAAAAGGTTTTTATGTATTTAGGTTTCATTAATGGTAGAGTTTTAGCTTTTAATACCACGTTATGAAGACAAAGATTTGTTCCGAAAATCTGACATAAGCTACCCAATCAAAGTTAGCCAAAACAAATGCACATTTTTAAATGCAACTTTAAAAAACGAATTTTTTATTTTTTCGAGTAATTTTCCTAGACCTCTTAGAATTATTTAAATTATTCTTTTTTAATTCTCAACATCAAGTATTCACTTTGGGTACTTCGCGTTTCTAAAACTTTTAAAAAGTAGCAATATGGTTATTTTCTTCCTTAATACTTTGAAGCTGTTCGTTACGTAATTTCTTAGCAATAATAGATTTTCTTATTTCTTGGCCAATGGCAGCAGACATAGGAGGTGCTACTGCGTTTCCGATCTAAAAATACCAAAAGTGTACAAAAATCGATTTCTAACTTTTACTGACTAAAAAAAAAAAACCCAGTGAAAATACCTGTCTATGCTTATCTAATATATTGCCATAAAAACGAAACGAATCTGGAAAACCTTGTGAACGGGAACATTCACGTACACTAACAACACGATGTTGCTCAGGATGAAGTACACGACCCTACATTAAAAAAAAAAAAAAAAAAATCATCAAAATGTATACATAAAAAAGTCAATTAGTTTTGAATTATTCAAATATATTAAACTTCACTTGTTTTCCCATAGGCTCTGGATTGGTAACTGTTGTACTAAAAAAACCATCCCATTCTAAACGTCCATATAAACCAGCCCAATTATTATGCCTGTTACCAGTATGAGGTAAACACCATGGTATCAATGTATTGAACTGACGATCAGATGGGTCACATGGTTTGCCGTTGGCGCACGCGCAAACACCTCGATTCTCTCCGTTTTTACCAGGACCTTGCTTCTTGTCTTTATGAAGATACAAACTAGAAATAAATATTGAAAAACGAAAAGCTAAAACGAGTTTTGATTGGCATAGTTTAGTCAATAATAACAAAAAATAGATTTAGGTAGATATTAAAAGAAAAAAAAGAAAAAGAAAAATGCAAAATACTGATTTACAGCAATTTCGTCGTGTTTCCGTCTCTAAGTTTAACAACCTTATTAGGTAAATCTCTCCAATCAGATCCTGGTATACAAGGTATGTAACTCATACGCGCTTCTACTAAAGGGCTCATATCTTTACATATGTGATCACGAAGAACTTGCATATGTTTACCACGTATCTGTAATTTAGTTATTAAAATATTAAAAAAAAAAAAAAAAAAAAATCAACAAAGTGCTTTGTACAATCAGAATATTTTAATTTTGTCGTAATTATCAAATAAAAACCTTTTTTTGAAAATGAGTCAAAGGTTCTGTGTCGTAACCGATTTCCATTTTATTTGCACCGTTTTTAATTTCCGGAAGATCACTCATAGCATCATATACTGTAGTAGTTCGATATGGGGCAGAATGTAGTCGTTTCAGTGCTTGATACTGCGTAAAAATATAAAAATTAAAGCACTTTTCTATATAATAATAATATCTGTTAGAATAATTCTAACCTTGTGACTGTTTATAGTAACAGACAAAGAAAGTGCCTTTGATGCAAATACGTGTTGTGGCTCAGGAAATTTTGGAAGTATTTCACCGGGGGCGGCTGCTATTATTATTGCTCTAAAATGCAAAATTATCTTATGATTAGGTCAAATATTTGGTAAGTAAAAAAGTTTCTGAAAAAAAAAAAAAAAAAAAAAACCAACCTTCTTCTGGTTTGAGGAACGCCATAAGAACCAGCTTGTAACACCCCGAACTCACATTGGTAACCCATTTTTACCAAACAACTTAGTGTCAGTTTTAGTACCATGCTTTTTTTAAATGAAACAAAATTTCTCACATTTTCCAAAATAAAAAATTTTGGACGAAAGTAGTCGCAATAGCTAAGGTAAGACGTCACCAGCGAATTCTTCATTACATTAAACAAAAAAAAAAAGAAGATAAAAAAAGATTGGCAAATAAATTTATCAGTTCACAATAAATGTAACAAGCTCAAAACCTTAAACATAGAATATTCTCTTTGATTGAACCTATTCATTCCACTGAATCCTTGACAAGGCGGACCACCACACAATAAATCAACTTCCCCTCGGCGGGGTAGACGCTGACCTAAGTCATCTTTTTCTTTACCCTAAACAAAAGCAAAAAACTCAAAATCAGTAGAAAAATGATAACATTATTTATTTTTATTATTATTTGCTTTTTACTATACTGATGTCTGACATAAAAAAAAAACAACAAAAAAATAATTTCAATGTAAAAATGTTAAGAAAAATAACAAACCTCCATGATTTGCTTAAGAACATTGTTACAGTCTTGGTTAAAAACTATTGCACTAGGATTATTCAATCTGTAAGCTTGTGCAGCTGAAGGTTCAAATTCAATAGCCCAACAACTGTTGACCACACCCACCTGATCAAGACCTTCTGATAAGCCTATGCCGAGAATACACCTTTATTTATACATACTATAAGTTTCAAAATATTATTAATTAATTGTAAGTTTACAGAACCGAAATAACAAAGACAAGTAAAAATTATAATACAATTAATTAAAAGAAACTATAAAATACTTATAAAAAACTAAAAATGGCATTTTTTTACCTCCACAACCGGCAAATATATCTAAAGTTCTTAATTTCTCAACTTTCTCATAAGCAGGAAAATTTGATTCAAGTCCGTTCTGTTGCTTTGTTGATTTAGACTTTCCTTTTCCTTTTCCCTAATAACAACAATCATTTGCTTTAATCAAGTGATAACTTATTTTTTTTCATCATGTTAAACAAATATTAGCACTTTTTTTGATTATGCAATTAATGAAAACTCATGATTGTGCAATTAATGAAAACTCATGACATATGATTGTGCATATATGGGTATTTGTGCTTTTAATTCAGATTGTGTCTTTTTAAAGCCGTTTAATTTTTGAATTTTCAGTCATATCTATACGGTGCATTTCTATTTGATGTACATCTATAAACTTTACAACGAGCATATAATTTTTTTGCATTTGAGCATATATTAATAAACATTTTACACCGTGCTTATACAAGACTTATATCAGAAAGATATAAAATTGTAGAGAAAAAAAAAACGATAATGGCGCCCTAAACAATGCTGGTGGACAAATTTTATAGAAAGGAACAATCACCAATCAATCAAGAAACATAATTAATGTAAATAAAAATATCAACAACCAAGGTAGCAAACAATATTGGCGTAACATTGGCGTGATATTGGGTATCTTAGCCAAGATATCCGATATAGGGCCAATATTGTCATACAATATTAGGCCAATATTGCCTTACAAATATTGGCAAACAATGTTGCGCCAATATTGGCATATCAGTATTGGGCAATATTAGCATACCAATATTACCCCATTATTGTTTTACTTATATTGTAATGCCAATATTAGCACAATATTATAATATTTTTTAATATTTTATATACAATATTTTTTGCCAATATTGGCTTAATATTAAATCGTTAATATTAAGCCAATATTGTAAGAGAATATAGTAAGAGAAGTATTAGTGTAACATTTACAAAATTAATCACGAGAAGAAGTGGTTGTAATTTATTTTGAAACAGATTGTATCACAATAAGAGGTGATAAAAGTAATGAAATCCTTTTAAACAGATTGTATCACAATAAGAAGTGATAAAAGTAATGAAATCCTTTTAATTCAACATTTCAACATTTCAAGTAATGAAATCCTTTTAATTCAACATTGATAAAAGTAATGAAATCCTTTTAATTCAACATTTAATTCAACATTCAACGGATTGAATCATGAGAAGAAGTGATTGTTATTGATTAAAGATTGTATTACGAGAAAAAGTGGAAAAATATTGCTATACTATGAGTAACAAGACTGAGATTGTAAGTTAGCACTTATACGAAAAAATTATTAGTTAATTTCATCTGTAAGATATATCTTTTATAGTTTATTTATTTTGTTAAAGATATTCATTTAAGATATTATTTTAATTAAATATATTATTTTAATTAAATACATATTTCTACTATATATACTATTTTTACTATATATATCATCATCAGTTAAATATATAAAATATATTTGTTAAAAGCAGTATAAAATATAGTATAATTGTAAAAATAAACATAATAAAAGCCATAAAGTTGATAACAAACTTTATATATACACAAAAGAATTATTAAAAATCAAATAACATAAGAATCGGTAAATTATTTTAAATAGTAAGCGTCATTTTAACATGATTTACTTATTCATGTTGAGTTTTTTCCATCTTATATGAG